AAGAATTATTTCTACCAAACATAAGTCAAACATATAATTACAAAATTTTAGTTTACATACGTTTTTCGATAGCAAACGGTAAGCAAAAACATGTTTGCAAATCATCATTTTTGCCTACTACCTATGAAGTGCGGCCCTTCCCTTTTCCATTTCCATTCACTTCGGTACTTTCCTTTCCCTTGCGGAATTTCACATTCAATGAAATTTCAATGTCTCTTTTTTCAACTATTCTAGCTAGACCGTCGAACATGGTTGGCAAATCTTCAACTTCCTTGATGGCTGCAGGACTCACTGCTTCATTAGTCATGCTAGATTCACCGCTTGATTCTTCATTTAGAACTCAATCAAAATACCCACAATTAACACTACATGTTTTGAATAATCACCCTTTGTTCTTTGTCTCCCTTTCAACTTCAAAACATTTTTGTAGTCTATGCGCACACCATGGGTATCGTCGTTTTATCGAGTAATTCGTGAAGAAGTGGTCCATACGTCTACAGCCGTGATAGACACCAACATTCCTCCCCCCTCATCCTGGAACGAAAACAAAGTAAGAAATGAATGAACAAATTTATAGGGGCAGTGCACCAAACTTGAAAGCCCTAAACTTAGAAAACAGGGATTTGCAACAAGCGGGAGCTAAAGGGATATTGTCCATTCGACAACGTGACAAATACACCAAAATTCAGAGTTGCCTTTGTTCTTTCAACTTGGCAAATTATCAAAATATATAATTTCTATAATGCTGCAACAAAAATTGGAATTTTGCCTTATCACCACATTGACTCCAATTGAAAGAAGAATCCTTTGATTATTTTTCAACATCATTAATATATCATAAAAGCTAAGTATTGCAAAACTCAAATGAACAAAATATGGAGGTTTTCTATTCGTTTTTGTTTCAAGTAATTTTCTGATTTTAACCTTCCCCTTAATTCCAAGTAGTTATCCTATTAATCTTGACCTCATTTACAAATCAAAATCTCACAGTAAATTTATGTTTTCCCCTTTTGGCCTAAATGCCATTCAATTCATTCACATGGAAGAAATTCATAATGTATGAACCATAAGCCCGAAATGAAGTTATGTTAGTGGCTCATCAAAATACATCAAAAAATTGTATGCACAAGTGGGTGGGTTATCAAAACTAATTTTAATCAACCCATAACTAGAGCAGAGGTTAAAAAATTTTAATATTGAAAATGTTACTTGGGAATCGCATGAAATTCAAACTAGTAACAGAACGTTTCCAGGAAACGAAATGATCACTCAAGAATTAGCTTAAACCAAATTACAACAATAAATTCGACGAAAACTCAGTAACATCACAAGGGCATTCAAGAACCAATTACAGGAATATTAGATTCAAACACAAAAATTTACTGTGTGCAACAAGTTTTGAGATGGAAAAACAATTTCTAAAATACGAAATAGAATTCGGCTTACCTGAAGGCGTAAGAGATCAGATACTGGGTGGACACTACTCCACGTACTGAAAATGGGGAAGAGATTGTTTCCAATGTTCCGAATCAACGAAAAGGGAAAGCAAGACAGGCTGTTGGATCTGGATTTCACAGCGACGATTCGTTGATCGGGTGGCCGGAGGTTGTTTTCATAGAGGCGACTCGTCGATCGGCTGGCCGGAGGTGGATTTCACGTAGTGATGGCAATGGGTCGAGTCGAGCCGACTCGGCCCTTTAACCCACGAGCTCGACTCAGGCTCGTGGCGAGCCGAGCTCATGGCTAGTGAAAGAAGAGCCGAGCTCGCGGGCCAAGCCGATCCCACGAGCCGCTCGAGAGCTCGTGATTTTTTTAATTTTTTTTTGGTAAATTTGCACATTTTGAACATTTTTTTAAAAAAATCATATTTTTTGACAAGCCCACGAGCTCGTCAAAATGGCTCGTGGGATCGGCTCGTGAAATCGAGCCCTTGCTCCGCTCGGCCTATTTGACATCCCTAATTTCACGGAGGAGATTCATCCATTGGGTGGCCAGAATTGGATTTCGTGGAGGCAATTTTTAGAGTTCCAAATGGATGTACTTGTCTCCTGCGTTCGTCCCTCCCTTTCGTTTTGTGAGAATTTTCCTTTCTTTCATCTTTCATTCTTTTAGGCAAGTGCTAAGTCATTCTGTGAAAGCTCTGTAAAACAACATTTCTGTATGTCTAGCGCAATCGGGGTGAGGATAGTAATGAAAAACTCAACCTTAGAGTATCTCATTAGGTACAAGTGAAAAGAAGGAAGTTGGCAATGTGTGAATCATACGATAAATGAAAGGATATATATGACTACAGAGGGTCGGGAATTGAAACTACTTTTGTATTTATGATTGATTACTTAATTCCTCAAACACACATCGATTTTGCATCGAAAGAGTGGATATTGGTTTGATGTTGTGACTTTGAATCATGTTTGTCGAATTAACACTAAAATCTTGCATCTGCGGTAAGGAGTTGGCTTGTCTAACCAAAGATCTTCGCATGCTTGTGTGTTTATTATTATTTAGATTATAGTTTTGTTCAAGGACAAATAAATGTTTAAGTTTGAGGATGTTTGATAAGTGTATTTTATACACTTATTCATGGGCTAAAATAGTGATATTTTGTTGTTTTTTTGATGAAACATATTCTAAATCGTAGTATTTTGTGTTAAATAGGTAAAACTCAATCGTTGAACAAGAAATTGGAAGAAACAAGGAAAATGTCCTAAAAATGAGTGAAATCCGGAAGATGGGACCAAGTTGCAACAATCCAATAGTTGAATTGGACCATTAATTGAAAATTGAAGATGTTAGGGGTTCAATTGAATGCACTTAGAAGTTAAGAGGGTGAGAAAATAGGCGAAAAGGAGGAAAAAGTGTGCGTAGAAGTTCAGGGACCAAAATGTGATAAAAAAATTGAACTATACGTTTGCATAGTCCTCTACAGAAGAAATCATGAAACTCAATAATTAAACTATGTGGCCACATTATGATGAACTATGCGGTCGCATAGTTATAAAAATGAGTCGAATCTCAAGTTTCCTTATACGACTAAAACTTGGTAAGATTTTGGTCAATATCTTTGACCTAGATTCAAGCCATATAAACACCAGAATGTCTTCTACACCAAGGGAAAGCCTATTTTATGCAAAAAAACAACTCAAGAACATTAGAATTCTTAGAGAAATATCTTGAAAGAAGAGGGTAAATTCATATTTGTAAGAGAATTCAATTGTGGAATTGCAAGAAGATTTATCGAGTATAATTCATACTAGGAAATTTACACAATGATCGGAAGGAAAAAACGAGATATCAAGAGTTCATCGAAGTCATTCAAGAATTTAAGACTTCTCCTCAATTACTTAATTTTTGGGTGATGTTTTTTAAACTTAGAATGATTTCTTGAAATTTTAATACGCCCAGCTAGATTTTTACATTGTTAGGATGAAGTGAACCCTCGTTATGAGAGTTTAGGTCTGAATAATTGGATTGATGTCAGTTTGCTTAAATGTGTATTATGGTTTACTTAGCTTTTCAATCAAGTGGCCATTAGTTGAATTATTTGTGTGTTTTATCGTCATGGAGAGAAATAATAGGATCGTTAACACGTAGTGATAATCATTCTGAGGTTTGATAGAAGATACAAATATACTTCTATGCTTCACATGGTTTCTATAGATGTTCTAACTCGTTTAATGCTTTCTTGCATGTTCGTCTCTTTCATAAAAATATATGAAGGTTACATGTAGGATTAAATTTAATTATTATAGAGAGAAGCTTTTAATTAAAATAGAAACATTACCAGTAAGGATGATTTCAAATAGTCATTTTAAATTATTAAACTAAAAATAGATTAACAGGAGATTTCTATATTTTAGCAATACATCTTACAAATTTGATAGACATTTACTTTGCTTTCGAGTTAGTTGATAAATTAGACATTGATTTGTTACAACTCAATATTGCTATTCGATTAAGGGTATTAATAGCTTCAACTCGATCAAACACTTAGTTCTCATGGATTCGACACTTAATTCATCATTATATTACTTGATTACAAACAGTGCACTTCCAAGTTTTCAAAGGATCACAACACATGTAGTACAACAAAATATGTCTCTTCAAGTTTTAGAAGGTTCAGGGAATGGCGAGATTCGAAACTCAACCTTTAAAAGTTTAGGCTTAATAAGATATTTTTTTATTTTTAATTTATTTAATTATGTATAACCAATAAATAAATAAAATAATTCATATTTTAAAAACTTATAGGAAGTTCACATATATTTTTGAAGTTTTCAACAAAAATATAAAATTTTAATATCATAATACTTTAAATCAATAAAAATTGGTGGCCAAAGAAAGCTATGATCAAGGCTGAGTTTGAGACATGATGATTTTTTTGTTGGACTTATTTCTTTTTCAGATTTTAGCGAAGCTTAACATTTTGTTGAGCTGAACTTTAAAAAAAAAAAAAAATCTCACTTGTTAATAAAACGTACACACCATTTTTGCCTAGACGCGAAGCTGGGCATTTCCTTCAAAATCTCGTTTGAGGAATTTTCCTAGTTGCTTTCCATTCACAAAAAGTAAAAGACAATGTAAATAACCTCAAAAGTTACTTTAACTAGCTATTGAACTTAACAAACAGTAAACAAAACTTCTGCACTATTCCATTTAATTCATCTTTGAAGAATTCAATAAAATCAAATATTTTGCACCAATCCATGTTATTTATTTAGAGCATATTTGAGTCATATTATAATGAAAATGAGAATGAGAGTTGTTATGGGCCCCACACCAAAAATAAAAATTCAAAAATTGTAGCTTGATATGATGAATAACGATCAGATTTTTCATTTTAATGAGATAAAAATGGGGATCAAACAGGGGCTAAATCCCATATCATTTTTACTTTTATTATAGAAAATAAAATTTATAGAAATCGATTTTACCAAGTTCTGATAATGCTATTAATTGCACTGAATATTCAAGAACCATCATTTTCAGTAAACCTGTCAAAAGAACCTCAAAATTACTAAAATTCATTACCAAACAAAAAACTGTACAATATCATCCTCCTCCTCTTTCCCTTTTTTTTTTTACCATATTTGCAGCCAATATTTACATTTAACCCACCAAAAAATGAAGAAGAAGAAATTACAATAAAAAACTACAAACCCGCAGTAATCGGCAAATGCTCGCCGTAGAAATCAGAAATCCCTGAAGCCATCCATACCCTCTCATTAAAAGCCTCCTGTAATTCCTCGGGAATAAACCGCGATCTACAAAGCGGACACGTTTTCTGATCGTGGTCCATCCAACGGTCCAGACAATTCCTGTGAAATACGTGTCGACAATTTGTCAGCCGTCGGATCTCATCGTCGGCGTTAAACTCGTACAAGCAGACAGCACAGTTTTCCGGCGGTTCAAATTCATTTAAATCGGAAAATTTCACCACTGGCAAAACCTCCCGGATCAGCTCTGCGGATACGGACTTGGGTTGCTCCGACGCTGAATCCATCCGGACCGGGTACGCCATTTCCGATTCCAAGAAATCCCTGAAGCCCAGTAGAGAAAAAACCGCAGACGTTGATTTTCGTATGAAAAACAGAACTGTCAGAAAGTAAACTAACAGTTTTGGAAGAAAAAGATCACTATATCCCATTGGGAATCCCATTGTTCAACTTAAAAACAAGAATAATCGCTTATACGGTGAAAGAAGTTGTACCTATATATAGCCGTTAGCAATGTGTGTGAGAGAGAGAGAGAGAGAGGTGTCAGCTTTTGGGTTAGAGAAATGGGAGAGAGAACCGAGGGAGGTTGAGTGGATTATACTAGAGAAGGTTCAGTACTGTGTGCGCGTGTAGGCTGTCAAATTAATACACACACGTTGAAGATAAATATAAATATAATTATTAGTTGATAAATATAATCAAAGGTTTGGTTAAACGCCATTTGGCCCCATTTTGTAGAGTTAAAAATGGGTGGAATAGTATTATTTTGAAAAATGAGTGATTGAAAAGAAAGGAAAAGTTTTCGATTTACGTATAATATTATTTTATGAAAGATTGTATGGTTGAAAATAGGAAAGAGAAAAATGTAATGTAATATAATAAAAATTAATGGGGGTCAAGGCTAAAAGTAGGTAGTTCGTTCACCATCATTTTTATATACAAAGTATCTTTGATATAGATTTTTTGAAATAAATATTATAAAAAGCAATTAGTATTATATAAAGTAGGAAAAAGCTATGAGTTCTTGTGCAAAATTATTTTATTGTAAGAATGAGTAAATGAAAATGAATTTCGAGAAAATTTGAATTTAAAGAATTTCTACCAAACAATGGATAAATCACAATATTTTGAAGGTAGGTACAGACATGGACACGTAAACAGTTAGGTGTCAAAAGTCGAAAGATCAAATTGAAACTGAACCGTGATCAAATTAGATATGTTAGTTGGTTGGTTCCGTAATTTTGAACTAGCAAGGAGCTTAATAATATAATTTTTAGATAATTTTTCAACCTTTTTCACATGTAACCATACAAAATTTTCATTTTTGGATTTCAATAGTCAATCCAGTCCGGATTGGATAACTCTCATTTATTTCATCAACTTGTCTTTATCAAAACATTAGTAAAGTGATTGCTCACTTGAAACTGAAATGAAAGTACAATGACCTTTGGAATACTTTTGTCCACTAAATTTACATGATACTCATCATATTAACATAAAACAATTAGAACACACAAAAACATAATAGAGACGTCCAAACATTTATCGTCGTGGTACATGTATGCATGGTACAACAAGTTGATGCATTACAATGAGTTATTTCACCAAAAAATAAAATAAAAGTAGTTCTTAACTTTGGATTTCAATTATTCAAATTAATATTATGTACTAAACATGACTCGACTCCGTCGCTACAAAGGCAATTGTCGGCAAGGCCCATCAAGGCAAACAGCATGGGACAGATGAAGTGTGAAGGCGTGGCTGTTTGTGAACCACAAAGTAGGCTAATCTGAAATGTGTATTGTGATGCCAAGACATTATGCCCCCACTTCTTGTCTATGAGAATAAGGCATTAAAATAGAGCCAAATTTCTTGATCCAGAAAATGGCCCCCCAACCCGATCATTCGGAGCGGATCTCAATCTCACTATTCGCTACCCTACACTCGTCCATGCTCCCTTGATTGTCTCTTCCTTTCTCTTCATGTTATCTCTTGTGCAAGTGTCAAACAAGCGTAGGCCAGCCTTTACCACGGATTTTAATCTAATTGTTGAAGATAAGGGTTGTGTTTGTAAATGTTATATCCTAAGTATCAATGTAGGTTGTATATACTTTTAATATGTTTAATGCATTATTTTGGTAAAATCAATTATTTATTTAAATCACTATTATAATAAATGATATTCAATAATAGAGTTCGTAGATTTAAGTTTTAATGAATTGTTAATCACAAGGAGTTGTGATTGTAAGATGTAAATTATAGATGACTGAATCTTAAATCATCCATTGTCGTAAATAATAGCAAGACGTAGATATCGTTATTATGGATAGACCATCACGTGTAGCATTTCTTACTCGTGAAGTAAGTAGCTGATCGTATAAGTTAAAGTGTGGTGACACTTCAATGAATACGTGAAGGTTTTGATATAGAACAAAATATTGGAGACATGCTAGGAGATTCCATATGATAACTATCTGAGTGTCAGTGGTTAATCTCTAACGTTCGATAGTGAAATTAGTCATTTGACTTGAGGTCATCATAATGTCTTATACGAGGACAGTCATACTTTGGTTATATTGGATGTTGCTCTATCAAGAATCACTAATACGATATCGTTCGGTCAAGTATCTTATGGAGGTTGTGTATGATCAATAGAGGATTCGTCACTTTTATATAATAGTAGATTATGATCTACATTCATTAAGTTTAGTTGATAATGAAATCCTTAGTCAATGTGTGCTCATAAGTCGAAAATGAGTTTTTGACTTGTATTGACTAAATAATGGAATAAAAGATATGATCGATAATTGATATTGATATATATCCATATCTCGTAATTGATTGGATTATATTAACAAATGGATTATAGTTTCAAGGTAAATGAACAAGTTTGATTTTGTCGTACCACGTGACATTTTTCGTTGAATGTATTGCCTTAACACATAGTTAGATGTCAATCAGTGACATCAAATGTGAATTAGTAATAAATTAAATGAAGCCATCGTTTGACCCTCATTAAATTCAATTACATTACATTTCATTTTTCTCTCTCCTATTTTCAATCACACAATCTTCCATAAAATAATATTACACGTAAATCAAAAAAATTTCTTCTTTTTCAACCTCTCATTTTTCAACAAATACTATTCCACCCATTTTCATTTTCAGAAAATGGGGGCCAAACGGGGGCTAAATGAGTGTTTTAATTAATCTATTTTAATTAGACCAAAATAATAATTCACGTCGTTAAATATCGTGATTATAAACCTAATGGGTCACATACAAAATGAGAACTAGAAGAATAAGATTTACTAATTAATTAACAAGTATTGGATAATTAGTTAATTTGATTGCTTATAAATAAGTCCAAATTAATAAATTAATTAATTCATGAACCAGATTTAATTAATTGAATTGATAAAATATTGGACCAGGTTAAGAGACGAGCCAAACCCGTTTAGGCTTATATAAATAAGTCGTCAGGGTTTGAAAACTGTAGAGAATTTTTATTATTCTTGCTAGCACAAGAAAAGCAAAAATTTCGATTATCTCAATTTTGTTCTCTGTGTGAATTTTCATTGGAGGTTGGACAATTGGGCAGTTGTGGGCTACAGATTGAGATTGTTGGGACAAAAGAAAAGTAAAGAAGTTTGCAGAATTCAACAAAGGTTTAATTTTTATCACAATTTTTATCTAAATACAACGCAGATCCTTGGTGAGAATTGAAATATTATTTATATTTCGTGGTGCATGATTAAGTAAATTCCCAACAGTGTTGGGCTCAACTTTATAATAGTATGGTTTGAATAAGTCAAATCACATGTCTTTTTAAATTTTCCTGTTTAAAAATTTAGAGTGTGCTTGATTGGAATGGAAAATATCACCTAAAAAAGAAAATGTTTTCCATCTTTTGTGGAAAATAAAAACCACTTCTATCCAAGAAAAATATTTTCCTCAAAAATAAGGAAAATTAGGCATATCTTCAGAAGTTGAAAAATGTTTTCCTTGAAAAAAATAGCAATCAAACACTCTAAGTAGGAATTTGGGAGGAAAACTGATATTTTCCATGAAAAATAAATGTAATCAAACACACCCTTAAAAAATACCATTGGGTTTTGTGGCTTGAACCCTGTGGGATCTAATTACTTGTTCAATGTCTATAGTATTTGTATGTATATTGATACTAAAAGTTGTTACAACCGAAGCTAAAGAAGTAACATCCTAGAGGACACGTGGCATCCTGTTGTCACGAAGCACCCACCTCGGAGGATAATTATGATGACGTGTTTTGGTCGACCTCCGAAATCAATTGTTGGGATGAGAAGAACCCATTGAATGCAGATAAAATCACCTCGGATCATATTGAATAATTGACTTCAAACACCACAACCGAATTGACAAACCACTTGTTTTACCATCACCCCATAGAATCAATCACGAGTCTTGACAAAACAAGTTAGGGTTGGAGGCCGGTCATAAGAAATCATCATGTCCCTATAATTGCCTTCTTTCGTCAATCAAAAGTGCTCCTAAGGAGAACTAGTTTAGATTGATTAGACAAGAATACTTCTGAAGGAACTTGTAAAAAGAAAGTTTTCCCACGATTCATAGGGGAAAATGGGCTATTGAAATCAAAAAATTTAAGAGAAAAGCCATTCAAATAGGGAATTTCTCCAGGGTTGCGTCAAATGCCCCACCAATAGGGTGGCTCCCTGTCCTAAACCTTGGAGAAGCCGTCAGACGCCCCACCAATAAGGGGCTCCCTGTCCCAAACCCGGGAGAAATTCCTTGTCAAACCAGTAGTCTTAACATTTAAATATGTTTCTTGCTCGTACCAAATTCACTCTGAGGTCACGAAAAATCACGAAAACCTTATTTTTACTTAGCAGATTCGTCTTAAGTTAATTGGAAGGGGTCACATCGCTTTTTATTAATTAATCTCTTCATATACTATGTTTTCATTATTATTGTAGGTCCTTTTTAATTCAATCTAATAGTTCGCTACACTACTAGAAAATTGGCCTACCAACGACTTGGTTATTGCCTTGACAGCAAAGGCACAAACCAGTTAGTACCAATTATAAGGTTGCTTGTTTCAGGTCACATCTCTTTGATGCGACCACTTTTTCTTGGTATGGTGGGCTAACGTGCCATGATATAGACTAAGCCCTCGTTTGTTTCTCATTTTTGGACGAATGAGAATGAAAAATATAACCGTTGCAGGTCCCACACAAGAGATAGAAATTCAAATTTGGCGTCTTAATGTGATGAATAACGATCATATTTTTCATTTTAATGAGGAAATAATAGCACCCAAACGGGGCTAATATTAACGAGATTCGTGTTAAGTCATCCTTAGCTCGGACATGACCTTTACTTTTAGACATGTTAAGTCTAAACTTGATGTGCCTAAAATCATCTAAGCTGAGAACACTACATGCTGGTACTACTTTGCCAAAATGCAAAGGATTCAATACTTAAGTTTGATCTTTCTACGATAACATTGAAGTTCGAATTCTCAACGAGTCTGAAAATGCAAAATGCTTGCACAAAATCGAACAGAACTAGCAAGATAAACTTTAAAAGAACAAGAATGAAGAAGTAAATGGGTTAAAAGAAATT